CTCATATCGGGCTTGGCCAGTATCCCAAGCCTTGGCAAGTCTGTGGCATCCTATCCGCACGTAAATGGGCCTCCAACCCTCATCTCCCGGCCTGCTGCGAGGTCACTGGTGGTACCTCTGAGACTGTGGTGGGTGAGCCCTGCCCGGCCTGCAGCTGCTTTCTTGCTGGACCCGTGAAGGTACCTGGGAGAGAGGCAGGGCAGGGGGTGCCTCGTTTTGTCTGGGGCCTGGCTGGCAGCTGGAACTGCCCCTGACAGGCTCTCCACAGAGGCCCTGGCTTTTCTGCTGCCACTACAGCTGCTGACCTCAGGGACCCGCCTCTCTCGAGCTCGGAGCTGTTTCTGCCGGAGTCCCGGGGGAAGGAAGGCTGGGAGGCAGGGGTAGATCAACGGACCCTATGCAGGGCACCGGCCTGAGCTAGGCCCGCTCACACGCTCCCTCGCCTGCCACCTCACACGGAGGCCCACGCCAAGAGATGTTCCCATGGCTCCTTTTTTTTTTTAAGACGTCAGTAAATTATCAGCTGCCCGAAATAGACAGGTCTTCTGTGGCAATACGAGCCATGAATGATGGCGAGTCACAGAATAAGATCAGCTAAGCAAGCAGGTTATACTGGAAAGTAATAACCGGCTCTCAGAGGGGCTCGTGGGAGGCTGTGTCCTGGGGGCAGCATGGGAGGCTCAGCCTATCTTTAGCCTTGGTTACGATGAGTCAAACGCCTCGGCATGGCCGAGCCTTCCCAGAGCTGGCAGGAGCTTCCCAGGGCCACGGGCAGGTGGCCTCCCAGTCGTGTGGGCAGAAGACACGCAGGCAACAGGGCAACAGTGGCCTGACCCCTGAGGCAGGCACACCGCAAATACTGGGTGGGGGTCTGGAGCGGAACCCACCACAGAAATGAAAGGGAGCAGAGCTGGCCCCTTCTCAGCTCCCTGGGTGCCCGGAACTCACCATATGGCCAGCAGGCATGAATGTAAACCAGCCAGGAGACGCTTGGAGGGCGTCCCAGCATAGTTACAGAGAACAGAGACTCGGTTCTAGAAGACAAACTGCCCCAATATATAAACAGTGGACGTTCCCAGCAGAAGACCTGGACACGGCGCCAGGGGATGGGGCCTGGAAGGGAAGCAGGGTACCTGTCTGTGAGCGGTCGGAGGGTCATCGATGGTGTGCAGGGGGCGTCAGGAGCTCCTCAGCACCTCCCCCTCACACCTCCCCCTCCGGTGGCCTTGGCCGGAGAACTATTTAGAACATTCAAGGCTTTTCAGAGTGGGAGGGATTCATCACATTCCGAAAAACCCGTGGTTGAGGGTGGAATGATTAGTATGTCAGTACAGTACGCCAATGTGCTGACTGGGGACTCTAACTGTGCAGACAAACACAACAAAGGCCGAGCAGCCACTTGCTTGTTCCCAGGATTTCAGTTCCAGGAGCACTTCAGAACTAAGGCTGGGACATGAGAGACCTAGGCTCAAATCCTTACTTAGTAGCTGTGTGTCCCTGGATAAGTGACTTGCCCTCTCTGGGCCTAAGTTTCCACAAATGCAAATACTGATGTTAAGACTGACTTCCCGGAGCTGTGGACGGGGAGACGGAGGGGCGCGACACGGTGCACTGGGTGGTGCTGAGCCAACGCCAGGTATTTCTGCCTTTACTCCTACGTGGCGGGAGCCTGTGCGTCTGAGGGCTCGCTTCTGTGAAGTGAGGGTGTCATGCTGGCAGTCCTGGCTGCCACATCAAGCCCCAAACAAACGTCCTGCTTCCCCAGAGACACAGCCGACTTCCGAATGCCCCCGGGAGCCCACCAGGCCCCCCGCATCCCAGCCTGCAGCCCCTTCCCCCAGGTCCCACTTCAGTAAGCTTGTGAAGCAAATGGTTCTTTTCCTCCTGAGGCTTTTATAGCTGCAGAACTCCAGGGGAAATGTCTCGGCTAAAGTGGGCCTTAAGACACCCGGTGTTGGATCTGGGAGGTGCCTCTTCTGAACACATTTTCCCCCTCGGCATTGCTATTTTTAACGCTCAGCAGAATGTTGAAAGGGCGACTCAGAGAGAAGGCAGGAGAGGGGCTCATTCTCCATGCCAAGGACTGGAAGCTCCTGCTTCCTATTTATTCCAGCCCGAGTCCACCCTCCGAGTCTTCCCAGCAGGGAAATTCATGAGTGCTTCTGAAGAATCACCCCGCTTACCCGACCCGTCAGAAACCTGATACAGGCCGGTGTGCCACCACGGACGGGGGCGGGGATGAGCGCACAAGGGGAGGCTGCATGCTGGGTATTCGCCCAGACTCTGCTGTTTTCATAAGGCCTTCAGTGAAATTTCCATTATTTCAAAAAGGAGATAAAAGCTCTGAAATTTGCTACTTTCAAACAATGAGGGCTCGGAATCATCTCATTACCTTTCTTTCCTTCCCTTTTGCCCATGTAGTTTCAGGTGGTGAGATAAACAATTCGGATTTGCACCTCGATGTTTCCTCTCAAAGGGAGGTCCCTCCTCCAGCCCACTGCTGTCCTAGCACAGCTGCCACACAGATCAGTGGTTTTTCTGGAAATTGCACGTTTGAGCCAGAGCCATTATTTGGCCTCAGCAGGTGGAGGAGGCCCTGCCCACACGACTCCCCTCACAAGCGATCCTGCACACAGAGCGATGGTCTCCAGCCACGGGCCGTGTGGACCAGTAATTACAAAGCAGGAGAGAGAGCTTCACGCTTGTATGTACTAGCTGGGAGGAGGTGTCCGAGTGGAGACCTTTGAATCAAAGGCTTCGGGTCCCAGCTCTGCCCCTGACTGGCTGTGTAACCTCGGACAAATTACGTAACCTCCGAGCTTCGGTTTCCTCACCTCGGAAATGGGGTTAATATTGATCTCACTCATGTCATGACTGGCTTCGGTCTTTCTGGGTCCTAACACTGTGCCTTCTCACCACACAGATCTGCCTTTTGGAATGAAAATCTTCTTCCTTAACTCAAACATTCTTGACCCTGGTGGGTCAAATTTGGCCCCAGGACACAGGTTTGGGAGTTACTGCTTTTAAAATTAGATTGGGGACTTCCCCGGTGGTCCAGTGGCTAAGACTCTGCGCTCCCAATGCAGGGGGCGGGGGGCACGGGTTCGATCCCTGGTCAGGGAACTAGATCCCGGATGCCGCAACTAAAGATCCTGCGTGCTGCAACTAAGACCTGGCGCAGCCAAATAAATAAATATTTTAAAAAATTGATTAAATTAAAATTCAAATGGAATGTGGACGACTGGGCGGACTGGCCCACCTCAGGCTCCCCGCACAGGGCTCACACAAGCCAGATTCATAAACAGCCGGCCCTCGGAGGCCTGGGTTTTGACCCCTGATCGGGAATGTCCCTTCCTACACGTTAGGCACGATCCCCGTTTAGTTGCCTGCTCTCTGAGTGGCTCAAAGGGCCGGAGGCCATATTTTATAACGAAGCCAGAGTCCGACCGCTCAAGCCCCAAGGAAGCGGGGGAGGCCACTGGGGTGCCGGGCACCCGCTCCACTTTCCAGGGTCCGTGGGCAGCCAGCAACTCCCTGGTTTCAACCTCCTGACACAAGATGGGAGCTGAGGCAGGAGAGCAGCACAGTGATGTGCTCAACCCTGAGGACCATCCCTTCCAGGCGCCCAGGGGGCCGCCTGTCCACTGGGTTGTTGCCCCCCAGACAGAGCGGGCTGGGGACCCACTGACCTAAGCTCTGAGGCTAGTCCCATCAGCGGGTGACCCCAGGCATGTGCCTGCGTATGGGCGAGCCTCAGTCTGCTCCCCCGCGATACGGGAGCTGTGCATGGGTGAGCACGTGACACAAGCCTGGCACGGAGCATAAGGGCCCTGTCACAGGCAGGGGATGAGGTGCTGGACCTTCACTAAAGGGGAGGGGCTTGGTTCGCTGAGCAGCACCTTCACAGACCAACCCCGGTCTCTGCATGGACCTGGCGTCAAGGTGCACCGTCGTTCATGCTGAACCCTGGGGTCTGGTCCCAGAGGGGGTGACGGTGACATCGCACAACCCTCGGCGTATCTCCCCTGAGGCCGCCTCACCCTGCACGCTACACCTCCTGGGCTGGTTTTGCTTCTACAGAGGGCAGCGAGCTCTGCTTGAGGGCAGTAGCCCACCCCTGGCACAGCGGTGCCTCCTGACCTGCCCTCAGTTTACCCCTTGCCACTCACCTCTACACTGTGGCCGGAGCAAACTACCGGCTGTTCTGCAAATAGGCTCTTCATGCCGAGACCTTCACCCGTGCTGTTCCCTCTGCCACGAACCCCCTTCCTCTGATCCCCCTCCAGCTCCCAACCCAGTGGACACGTGGCCTGGCCTGAATCCATTCTTCCATCCTCGATCCTATCCACCCCGCCCAACAGAACTGCCCTTCTCTGCTCTCAGGCCACGAGGTTGGGTAGGACTGATGCCATCCGCTTTCCTGGACCAATAACCCAGACTGTCAGCCAGTAAGAACCAGCCCTGAGACTTCTGTTGGGAAGAGGTGCTACCTTTCCACTGCAGTTGCTCATGTAAAGCTGCTGGTGGTCAGCTTTGCCTCCACTTGGGGAGAATTTGGTTGGGAATGAGGCCAAACCAGGGGATATGAGAGGTGGGAAGAGAGATGGTGAACAAGACTCTGAGCCCCTGGACCCAGCCACGCCTGAAGCCTTTAGTTACACTCACCAATAAATCCCTCTTTTTGCTCAAATCACTTTGAGTTGGGTTTCTGTCACTTACAACCAAAAGAGACCTGGCTGATACACACAGAGTTTCATCTGGTCAGCTCCTCTGCACACGTGGGTACAGCTCAGGCAGCACCGCCACCCACTCCTTCCCACCCAATCCTGAAGCCAGACAGCATCTCACACGTCTTCAAGTCCCCGTCACCTCGCATAAAGCCTCGGCTGAATAGTGGTAAACGGCCGAGGCAGAGCTAAAACCTGCATTCCCCCCCCGCCGGGGCTGGTGCCTTCCCACCCCACCAGCCCCAGCTGCCCCAGGTCTTCAGAAAGACTCACCTCTGTCTTATTCCGTGAGAGCGTGCTGCTGTCGATCCGGCCCAGGGACACATTTGGCAGGACAAGGTTGAGGACTTTCACAGCAAGGACCTAGGTGGGAGGGAAGCCAGGGTGAGCGCAGTGGGACCCCCACCCAGCTGCCCTCGGGGCCAGCTCAGGAGAGGGACACCCAGACTGGACCTCAGCCAGGCCTGGTCCCGGGCTGGGCACCCAAGGACCCTCCTCTCTCCGACCAGACGGCCTCACTGGTCTGGCTCTGGGCCACTGTGGGCGAGCTGGGCGAGGGGAGGCCGTGTGGTGACAGCGGGACACCACATGTGTTTTTTGCTGACCCTGATTCTGTGCAGTTACCCTCCCTAGATCCCTCATGCGTCATGATTTTGAATGATGTGCAGGACCTCCTAGCTGAGTGCTTGTGCACGAGCACCTCTCAGAGGACCTTAAAAAACACAGCAGGAGCAGACGCACCCAGTCCCCCGAGATGAGGCAGGACACGCTCTGATCCGGAAGCATTAGACACGGCGCCGAGGGAGACACCGATCTGACTGCTGGTTGTGTGGCCCCAGGTGTGTGGATGGAGCTGCACATCACTGAGCCTGTCCCCTTAGCTCCCCACGGGACCACTGTGAGCAAAGGCACCGGCACACGGGAGGTGCTCAACGCGTGCTCCTTGAACATGGTCCTGGCTCAGGTCCAGGCCTTCCCACCCCCTCCTGCTGGATCTGGTGTTTACCCAGGAAAAGCGTGAACCTGGATCTCACACGTCTGCCTGCAGAGGGGGGCTGTTCCCGTTTCTGGGCTGTGCAGACACCCGGGGATGAAAGATGCTATTTCAAAAGCGAGCTGAGAAACGCTGAAATTAGAATTGCACGGAAGGTGGCGAACAGTGAATCCTCGGTCTGCGCGGAGGGCGTGTGTCACAGAGCCGACAGGTGCTGCCTCTTGGCACCCTGCATCCCGGGAGGGCACACACATCCACTCAGTGACAACCCCTGGGTGTGCTGGGCACGGTCCCAGGTGCCCAGTCTTTTAATCTTGACACAAATGCTGTGAGGTGAGGGTTTACCCTCGTGTAACAGACAAGGACACTGTCTGTTACACAGAGGCTCAGTGCCACTGCACACGGCCAGCTGGAAGTGGGCAGGGGCCTGGGATGCAGCTGCCCTTTCCCTTCCAGCAACAGTGGCCCAAGGACAACGTTATTAGGGAAAACGACGTGGATCCCAAAGCTTGTAAAACTGATCCTAGACTTTCCGCTGTCCTTGATGCCCTGCCACGGCCTCCTGAAGGACACGGAGCCTCTCAGCTGACTCCACGTGTGACCCTGCCAGGCCCAGGAGTCTGGGGAGGCCATGTGTGATGCAACCAGACCCTGCTGCCCACTTTGGCCCGTCTGCCTGCCTCGTCCAGCACGGACTCCTCAAGGACACGGCTCTTTCTCGGCAAGTAGCTTCCTACCCACTCCCCGATCAGATAGCCGACAGCAGGAAAAGACCCAGGGACACACCGCCTGGGCACCTGCCCCGTGGCAGGCGTGAAGGCAGAGACTGTACAGGGTCCACTCCAGTGTCCAAGCCGGGCACCGTTTCTGCGTGGACGCGGGCACGCTGCCAGCTGTTCGTGGAGGGTCAGACTCACCTTCACCCTTGCGGTCTCTGCTCCCACCATGGGCACCTCTCAACCCAAACATTCACACCCCAAAGTGCCAAGGCCTCTACCCCAGGAAGAGACACTGACAGCTCAGGCTCCACGAGGATCAGGCCAGGCGGGCTGAGACTCATGCCGTCCTCATTCTGGTTTCCCGGGGTGCGTGTGGGCACGAGGCAGCCAGGGGAGACGCTGCCTCTAGGAGAGGGCCACAGGGAAACCTGCCCTGGCCTCCGTCCCTGAGCATGTGGCCTTCTCTGCGTCACTAACAGGAACTCTGCGCAGCCACGGGAAGCTTCAAGAGCCTCACGGGAAAAAAAGAGGAAGAGAGCCGTTTCTGGACAAGCATTTGCTTTACGAGAAGAACAGTGCAAGGGTCCGGTCCCTGGAGGGACCAGATAATGCACAGCAGTTCGGCTGCCCCCTCACCTTCCTGTCCCGGTACAATCGCCGAGTTCCGGCGGGGCCTCTCCTGCTGCAGCTCCGACAGCCTATGGCCCTGAGCCCCTGGTCTCCACAGAAGACGGCGCTTGGTTTTGAAGTCCTGTTCCCTGCACCCTGCTGGTGTACTGGCAGCGGGCGTGGCCCCCGTCAGGCCCTGTCCCTTCCTGATGTTCCATGACCCCTGCTCTACGTGTGGTCCTCAGACCAGCAGCACCGGCAGCTGCCAGGGATCAGGCTCTGCATTTTCACGGGACCCCCGGCGTACGTGTGTGCCCTGAAGGTGGAGGGGCAGGTAGCCTGAGTCAGAGAAGCACCACCCTAAGAGGTTCTGCCTGACCTGCTCTGAGCTGTGGCCCAGGTGGTGCAGTGTCCCCGACCCCCACAGCATAGGACCAGGGACACGGACACACCTAATGTGTAAGCCTCTCTTTCAAAGGAGTCACAGTGAGACATCTTTGCACCACCCTGACCCTCAGCTCTTTTTCTAAACCAGCAGAGTAAATTCTGGCCACATTTCCAACAAGACTCAACTGGGTAGAGACAAACCTTTGATGGCAATAATGTCACAGCTAAAACAATCAGGTGTTTCTTAGCCTTTTCCCCACAAACACCAGAGAAGAAAAAGAGGCGGCACGCGGGGAAGGGCGCTCTGAACGGCTGCTCGACACACTCCCTTTCCCTGCTGCTCTTTTAGGGTTGGTCTATTTCATTAGCTTTTCCGTTAGGAAACGGAGCAGCGGGAGTGGTGGATCAAGGAAGATGAGGTTCAGGAGGGGTGCTGAGGTCACGTGGTGAGGAGGCAGGGGGATCGGAGGGAGCCCAGCAGAACCCACGCCTGAAAGAGCAATTTGTCCAGGCTGCTGCTGCTTCCTGCCATCATCTCCCCGCGAGAGCCCCGCACCTGTGTCCACGGGAGGAAGAGTGAGGGGCAGTGGCTCACCCAAAAAGGGAGTGGGATGCAAGACACTGTGGATCTTGATGCCATCCTGAGCAAGCGTTCTGAACTCTTCGGACAACCCTGCAGGGGCGTTGGAGAGAGCCCCAGATCCAGCTCAGGAGAGGGGCGACCCCTGCCGGGCCCCCTGGAGGAGAGACCCCACCCTCATCGTGACTCCAACAGGCTAAGTCAGGTCTGTGCCACCACACAGGTCCCAGTGACCCCAACTCAACGGGGGCCCCAGGGCATATCGCCTGAGGACAATTTGGGGGCCGAGACCCATGACGACTTACACACAGTCACTGGACCCCAGCCCTGGAAAGGGAAGGTAATGAAGTGGGGGAATCGGTCCTGGAGACTCAGAGCTGGGCAAAGTGGGATTCGAACTGTGGTTCTGAATCCCGGAGAAGGTCTACGATCCTCAGTGTCTCCATTTCTAAAATGGAGAAAATGAAACGAAGTTTGAAGGGCTGCTAGGAGGCTGCGTGACACCTAATTCCTCCAGAGCTCGTCCCTAACCGCCCTCTGGTTTCCAGCCCCAAGGAGAAGCTCCACCAACACTCCTTGGTCGACTGAGCAAACGCTGATGTCATTCAGAGTGGGGACCCCAGGAAGGAGGTGACCTGCAGAAACAGGTGACAGCTGGAGCCCCAAACTACCTCAGCGACAAAAGAGGATGACTCTCCCGGAAGTGAGGTCCACCCCCGACAAGCAAGCGAGCAGACGGTCATGTGTCCTTGGCCTGCCCTTGGGGCACCCCTGGGTTAACTGCAGCCCCATCGCTTTAAGTGCTAGTGACTTGCACAAATGCCTCTATTGATCCAAAAGGTTTTCATGGCTCCCGCAGATCATTTTTAAGCTTCTGCCACTAAAAGACTTGACACGAGGGAAGTAATTACACTCACTTTTATACAGCAGCTCAACAGGCTGACCCACGCACAGGAGGCCAGAAGTGCAGGCCTCCGTGGGCGCAGGAGTGCATGGCCAGGGCACAGCCCAGAGTTTCTGGGGTGGGGGAGAGTGCACCTCCCGGCAGACGACAGGAAGCCCGCATGCCTTACAGAGGTAACAACACGCCTGGTGCATCGCTGTTGCCAGATTCAGGGGCCAGTTTATGACCTAGCTAAGCCCTGACTCCTGAGTCTAATTTTACCTGAAGTTTGAATGAGTGGCCACTCCCCAGACCCCTTCCGTGTCCCTTCTCCACCCTCTGCTCCAGGGCCTTCCGGACTCCGGAAGCAGAAGAGTGACATTCAGAGGGGAAGTGGGCTAGAGTTGACCCAGGGCAGTTTTGGGGTGAAGGGAACATCCTGCCACGCCTGCCGCCTGAGCCAGAGCTCACGCTGACCTTCAGCGAGACAATCAGCCTCATTTCCTCGTCTGTAAACGGGAACGGGGTGGTGATGGAGGGGAAATAAGATGGTACGTGTCTGGCATGAGTGCTGGGTATACAGCGGCCACTCAAGCCCCACCTGGCCAGGTGCCCTGGTTGGTGGGCGGGACGGGTGTGGTGGTGGTGGTGGAGAAGCATCCGGAAGCACTGGGATGGCTCCTGCATCTCGGACCTGACCCCAGGGGACAACCTCCAGGCAACAGGCAGAGAAGGTCATTTAGAGGATTACCCTCTGGGCAGCCTGAGTCCCCGCCCTGACCCCGGGCAGAAATCCAGGGGGATGTCGGGTTTTTCCCCAGAGAAAGGACTGGGTTAACCTGCAGCCCCTCCTGGGTGTCGCCCCGGGACAAGGCCTGGCAAGCTCAGGGTGTGACACCTGTTCCCAAGCGTTCCCCTGTGTGCCCAGGGCTGGCTGCAGTGCTGCCTTCCCCAGAGCATGCCCGGGGGCATGAGACAATCCCCAGGGAACCTCCTGTTAACCACTGAGACTTGTTCTGAGGCACAGGACTTTTGTTTCTAAATTTCTCCTGCTTCCACCACGATCTGAACACAGACAGCATTTGGGACCAGGAGACTCTGTCCTCCTTGTCTGTTCCCCAGGCTAAATATACCCCAGCTTGTTGAAAATGGAGTAAGAACCAGATGTGCGGGATCTGGGGTGGGGGGGGTGGTCTGGCATTCTCACGTTTGGAGCGGGGAGCTGTCATCTTCCACAAGCCCATCTGTGCTCCAAGCCTTGGGTATCTCACGCTGGCTGGCTATAATGATTTTCAAAACCTCTCCATCAGGAACTGGCTGCCATGAAACAAACCTCTGGCCTGTCAAGCAGCCTCGCTCTGGGAGAATAGTCACAGAACAGGACACTGCCCTGTGCTCTGCGCCGTGGCAGTGTGACTCCACCCAGGGAAGGGTCCCCTCCTCCCCCTCAGCCAGGGTGGTCTCCAGGAGGCTGTCTGTCTTTGGGGTCCGTAAGAGTGAACCACTGGGAAGACCCAAAGGCCAGTCAGTGGGG